AGTTTTGGCTGTATCTACCAAAACCTTTCCTCGGTATCCTCTTTCTGTTGTGAGAGATGCTGGGAACCTCTCCCTGTTCCATTAAGCATGACAGCAGATACCTCAGGACTTCACTAAGAACTCATCAGCACAAGTAGCTTGTAATGGGTGTCTCAATAATCAAACTTTTCACTTTTCGTTCTTTTTTAGATATTTTCCACTTGTCAAAAGCAATAAAAAGTTGACTTTTTAATGTTCCTAAATTGAAACCAACATGAATGGTTAAAGTATGTTTCTTCTTTTTTACTTTTACATTAAAACACTTTGAACAGCTGCAAAAAGTACATGCCTAAGTGACAATTCTGTAATACCATGCTCAAAGCCAAAGCAAAAAAGGAATTTAACTTTTTCTCTTTTTTTCTGATTTTTAAAATAATAACAAACTTACAATGCCGGGAGGTCCTGAGGTCCACAGATAAGATGTCACTCAAATTCTTGTATCTGGCTCTTTGACAGTATGGAGACCGTACCAATATGTGATCTATAGCTGTCATTCATCTGTTTTGTAATATAACTTTCCTATCTTGGTCTCTATAATGCAATTTAATTCTTCCTTAAGTTCATTCAGAAATTCAAAAGAAACCTCCCAAATGGGAATTATACAAAGTATAAACTAATCTCTGCTTTTGTTGTTGTTTGTTTGGGGGGTGGGGGGGTTGTGGTTTTTGGTTTTTCTTGTTGTTGTTTTAGGTTTTCTATTCGTTTATTTTTTAAACAAGCCCTTAATCTACTACTAATTTTAAAGTGTGTATATATATATATGTTTTTTCTCAATGCAGGCCTAGCAGGTGTTAAGAAATAGCTGCAAATTCCCTGACAAAGTAAGCTTTACAGTTCTGAAACTGGGATGTAGTAGAGGGATCTGCCCCTACCCTCTGCAGCACATACTTGCTGTTCTTTGCTGAATGAACTTTCTAAGTGCCACAACTATTTCAACCAGGTGGACAAAGAAACGTGGCCAAAATTAAACAGCGAAGTAACTTCAACTACCTTGTTTCAACTACCTTACTTCTCATACCTGCAAAAGCTTAATGCAAATACACAAAAGCAGAGAGTTGAATAGCTAGGAATTCAATGGTTTCTGATTCTCAATTTTCAAACCTCTGCTTCAAAATAGGGTGGATGGGGTAGGATCAGTAATCAGGCTTGGTAAGTCATCAGCATTTCACAATACAAAGACTAATGCTGTGAGACAAAATTTCTCAGACAGAAAGCAAATGGTGAATGCTTAGAAAACAAAATTTCCTTATTAGGGTGGCAGCAAAATTGAGGGACTTGTCATCAGAGGAAAATGTAGCCCTGAAATTTCAGGATTAGAATATGAATTAGAGCATTCTCTAGATGCCAAGCTATTAGCTCCTAGGTCAAAGACAAAAAGGTCCTCTCTGTTCAAGATTTTTGTGCTCAAAAAAGTCTCAGCAGCATCTGCTTTCAGTTGTCCAACAAGGCTGGGTTCCGAAGACTTATGTGTACTTATTCTGAAAAACAGCAGGATATAAGACTTTCCATATTAATCATGAGGATTAGAGACCGCAATGCCAGGCACGGCTAATAGATTTGGGAATGCAGAAACACTTCAAGTTAGAGCTGCACTCAAAAATCACTAGATAATGGTGGTTCTGTATAGTAGGCAGAGTCCTTTCTTTAAACTCGCCACTAGTAGGTGTAAGTGGATGTCATCTCTGGCTCTGAGAATGGAGAACAGGAAAGAAGATGAATAAAGAAAAATGAAGCTAAGACCGAAAAATGGTGAGAAATCAGCCATATCATCATTATTTCCTCTTAACGCACGCAGCCACACATGCACACAGCCATTTATAATTGCTTTATCAATATGAGCTTTGCTGACCATTTTAAATCCAACCTATGCCTTAAAACAGGTAGCGTACGTGCTCAGAAGACAAATAGTCACTTGAGCAGGAAAACATAAGACCAATTCAACAGAGCAGATCATACATTTTTAACCTCATAGCACGGCAGGAAAATGCTTTAAACCTGTAGCAAGTCAATGAGAAATCTTCCCTACTGGTAAGCACAATAGCAGCCATCCATTTCAATAGAAGTTTATCAGCAGTGAAACCTGACCGAGATAAATGACGAAGCTGTTGAGCCACAGCCTGCTTCTGCCTGCTGCAGGCTGCCAGATAAAATGGGAACAAAAGCTCCCTGCTGTACCCCCTACCCATCTCCATTAACCCCTGCTGATGCTTTATTATCGTCTGGGGGCTCCAGAACAGCATAGCATGAATCAGTGTGTAAAAAAATAAATAATAAAAGCTCATATGTGGCACAAATAAACCAGAAACATATCCCTGCAAGAAGCATTCATTTTGGTAGTACTGCAATTAAATAATGGTTATGAAGAATTCCATATACTAAGGGGTGGGGAAAAAAGCAGTATGTATGTATAATCACATATGAAAAAGTGCTTAAAAGCTGCAGAATGCAAGTACACGAAGATGTTTCTCCTGCTTTTACTCCCCCCTCTCAAATATATACAAACACATACAAACAATGCAGGGACTGGGCATTTAGTCTGATGTCTTCATGTCCAATTCCAAGTTTCATCTTTTGATCCTGTCACAAATATCCTCTCTGTCACACCTTCTCCAGTGTCCTTGCTCCAAATATAAGCTTAAAACACTTACTGAAGGTCAAAGTGTCTTCTACTAAACTGATATTTAAAAAATGGATGGGAAGGGCAGTGAAAGTGTAACAAATCTCCTCAGGATTCATGGTTGCCATAGGAGAGAAAGACAGTTGGAGGAAAATGGAAGATTTGAAATGTTTGTAGTGTTTTAGCTATCATAGATTTAGAAAGTAGAGAGATTTCTGTACCTACCGTAACAAAGCCAATCTCTCATAAAAGGTTACAGAGAGGCCACATGAGATCCTGGGGAAAATTCACTAAGATTCATCACTAAAGAAACTCACAACTACATTTGCATTACTTAGCACATGAGAAGGAAAAGAAAAAAATCTACTTTAAACTGAACCATTCTCTTGGATGAACACTCCCTCTTCAGCCTATAGAGCCTTTCCATATACGAAGTGTGGGTGGGAAAGTGCTGGTCACCTTGTACGTAATTTTCTTGATTTTACAGATCTCTATCACATACCCCTAAATTAACACCTTCTGCAACTAAAAAAAAAAAAGAAAAAGTAAAAATCAAATCCTCAAATAAAATTAAAATCCAAAAATGCCAAAGAAAAACTGTTGGAGAATTTCTTCTCTCTTGCTTTTAGCCAGGCTTTTTCAAGATTTTCTGCACATTACTAAGGGTTAACAACTGTTAACTTTTTATAAAAAGCAGCAGCAGTAAATTCATAAGTCTAACACTTGGAGCCTCACAGGAAAAAAAAAAAACAAACCCTAGTAATTCTGAAACCTTAAGATGATAAATCTTCTCTGATGCCCTGCATAGATGTTACATGACAACCTGGAACAAACTCATTCTGCTGCCTCACACTGGCTTAAAAACAATGAAATGAAAACTGTCTCAGCAGACTTCATGCCAGATCAGATATTTTCTGTCCTGCCACAGACATTGCAATTTTGGCATAAACATTCTATCGTGTTCTGCCCAGTTTGACAGAATTGAAGCAGTGAGCTCATGCTTGATCAAGATGAAAATTCCTACCACAAACTGATCCAGCACTGAACGGAATTGTTATTAATGAATATGGAACCATGGTCTGAGTAAGACTGAAATGCATGAAAAAATTCTCAGTGTTTTGGCAAGCATGAGAGTGGAGAATGCTTAACTTTCCTTTTGCAAAATACATTCTAAGTCCAAGACAGTATCAGTGCTGTAGTGCTCAATCTGTTATAAATAAATCTCTAAGCATACCTAAGACACTTCCCCCCCTGCTCTTTTCCCAGGGTTGGTATAATGTTAGGTGAATTACAGACTAAAAATCTTGTTTTCAGGACAAAGAAAACTGTGCTCCCTGAGGCTCTCCCGAGAAGTGCTTCAAAGCAATTCACCTTGCAGGACTGGAGCTCCTTTGACTCTGAAGGAGAACAAGCAGTTATGTGACCTTCCAGTGCAAGACTATGACTCCACATTGACTTATTTGAAGTTATAAATAAAGAACAATTTCATAAGGCTAGAGAAGATAATGTGCTGAGTGCTGAAAATTATTTGCAATGGTAAGGGCTACCTAACAGAAAGCTATAATTCATCCAAAAGAAAGGTAAATCTGCCAGGATATAGCAAAGGCAAATGGCGCTGCTATACACCACGTAGCAGCCAAATCTCCTGCTTCCAGAAAAACTTCTGCCTTTTGATAGTAAACTGAACAAATATAAAACAATACCATTTTCTTCAAAGACTGGCAAAGAGGTAATGTCAAATTTGTTCCATAAATGCTATGTAACAAAATAAACAGAATTTTCCATGGGAGAGAGAAGAAAATATCTTTTTTTTTTTTCTTCCCCCCAATTAGAAGTTTCAGCAGAACATACCAGAAAGAGGAAAATCTTTCCCCTTGTTGGAACCCCAATAAAACAAGAGAGATATAAAGTATAGAGGATTTGTGGGAATACAAATAATTACATGTGAAATGAGATTTATTTCTTTAAAATATGTTCTACTAGCATCTAAGATGAGCAGCACAAAGAATGAGATTTTTTTTTAACCTACAAACATTGTTCTCAGTAAAAATCTTTTTTCCTTGATGATCTAAGAATTGACTTATTTAACAAATACTAATCATATATTCTTAAAAAGAGAGATCTTCTACATGGATATCACTTCCATTTTTAACACAGAAAAATGAGGGAAGAACAGTGAGCAGCATGCCCAAACACACACAAGAAACTGAACTGTTTCTCAAAGCACAAATCAACCATTAATCCATTGTCCTTTGGGATTGTATCAGAATTTGAACACCTAGAAAAGTAGAATAACTGCATTCTACAGCTCCATGGAATTAAAAACGCAGATACAATTACAAACCTCTATTTTGTCTGTTTTGGCATCTCCCCAGTATATTTTGCTTTCTGCATAATCCAGTGCCAGTCCATTTGGCCAGCCGAGCGAGGTATTCACCAGCACAATTCTGTCTGAGCCATCTAGTGCTGCCCTCTCAATCTTTGGCATTTCTCCCCAGTCGGTCCAGTACATATACCTGCAAAGGAAACAAAATCCTAAGAACTCTTATTGGTCCAAACTTTCAATATTCGTAGAATCATAGAACGGTTTGGTTTGGAAGGGGCCTTGAAGCTCATCTAGTTCCAGCCCCCTGCCATGGGCAGGGACACTCTCCACTAGACCAGGTTGCTCAAGGCCCTGTACAACTTGGCCTTGAACATTGCCAGGGATGCAGCAGCCGAACTTCTCTGGGCAACCTGTGCCAGGGCCTCATCACCCTCAGAATGAACATTTTTTTCCTATTAACTAATCTAAATCTCCCCTCTTTCAGTTTAAAGCCGTTCTCCCTTGTCCTAGCTGTACACACCCTTGTAAAAAGTCCCTCTCCAGATTTCTCGTAGGCTCCCTTTAGGTACTGGAAGGCTGCTCTAAGGTCTCCCCAGAGCTTATCCACACAGCTTCTTCTGAACTGCTGTTCCCTGAAACCACACTGCCCATAAAAAAGAACATTTCAAGCCAAATATATTCCCTTACCTAAGTAAGGATGCCCTAACCATTCAAAAAGCACTGACATAGAAATACACTGCACCTTTACACCAATCTCCCATATCAGTCTGCCCAGAGAGACAACATAAACAGTGCTATTAGCTAGAATAAACAGATCCATCTAAGCCACAAAAATATTTTTAAACAGGAGAATAAAACAAAGATAACTACCCAGGTGGTCAAAATAGAGCAGCAGTCCCTGTGCCTTAGAGCCTTAACTTGAAAGAATACCAGTATTTTCATTCTAAAGGCCTGAAAACTTATCACTGCATTCCATTACCTTCATACAGGTAGACAGAGGTATCTTCTCTACATGACTAATATTTAAAAAATGCTCACAAAAAGCTCCTCACCCAGCCATGGGATCCAGCACAATAGCTCTGGGTTCTTCCAAGTCTTCTGATATCAAGATTTTTCTCATGGTCCCATTAAGCCTTGTAACTTCTATACGGTCTGTGCCAGTGTCAGTCCAATACAGATTTCGGGCAACCCAGTCCACTGCAATGCCATCAGGATGCGCAATCTGTGCTGTGACAAGAAACTGACTACCTGTCCCATCGATGAATGAACGGCGGATGGCCCTAACTTCATCATCAGTCCAATAGATGTATCCTTCCAGAGGATCAAAGTCAATGGCGATAGCATGGCGGATATCCTCCAGTGGCAAAACAATGTCTGTAAAATCTGGGGTGTCTAAGGAAATTCGCCTCAGATCTGTTCGGCGGGCTAGAAGCAGCAGTTCAGTGGCACCTACATGAACAAAGCAAAAACACGACCATCTTACAAACACTGCAGTAAGCCTGCAAATAGTGAACCTGATTTTGTACCATTTGGTACAAGCTAATCTAGCTGCCTTGATTTCACAGGACCTAATCAAACTGATGGGCACTAGAAAAGAGTTCCACTCAAAGGCTTCAAATGTTCTGCAGAAGAAAAACCTCACAAGTCAGATGTGTTTACAGAGAAAATTCACTGGTCATTTCCATGACCAAAATATATTCTGCTGGACATGTTTTCTATCCATATCATTCCTTCTAAAGGTACTGAAACAGATACACAGTGACTGTGCTGCTATTTTATGCAAATCAACAGATGGCCTGCAGCCTCTTACATGAAAAATTAATTATATAAATAATTTACTGACTGTTTGCTGTTGTTGGTATAGGGGACAATCATGACAAACAAGCTGCATGTTTCAACAACACCCTTAGAAGCAGGAAAAAATGTAACATAGAACGCCATGAGTAAACCTCCTTTGAGAAAGGGGAAATCAGATTTGGGAACTGAAAACTGTCCAGCGACCATGCAAAGCAGGAGAGCTGCCAGCTTCTCCCATATTTGTTGTGAACAAGCTTATTGAAGACATGAAGATAAATGACAGTGTGTCTTATAAAGTCATATTGAGTTGGAGCATACAAAAGCCTTGCTGGCTTTTAGATCAAAGGTCAGAATCACAATAAATAACTAAGATCAGCCTGCACTGCAGAAGATGTTTTCACATAGGGCAACACAAGCTGTTTAATGGTACACGTGGTGGTCATCTGATCAATAACAGATGTACTTATTGTCTATTCTAATTCATTCTCATTTCAATTTCTAGTCTATGTCACTGGATTTCTATGTAATGAAGGATAAACAACCACCACACCCCATTCCAATTAAACTGTCTTATCAGTTTGGAGTCTCAGGGAGATAAGAGCAGCTCAAGCCTCAGGGAGGCCTGAGCTAAGAAAAAAAAAGTGTGCAGGGGAAGCGTGTTGCAATGGCTGCCCTCAAACAGTGAGGGGAAAGGGTTTGGCAGGGACTGATGTAGGTGTGAGGACAAAAGCGGGGGGAGGCAAGGGTGGGGAAGGTTTAGGAAAATAAATGCATCAACAGTGCAGTGAAAAAAGAGCAATCACCAAGCCACGTGCTATGTCTTGATCTTACAGAGGTAGAAATAAGGGCTAGAAGACTGAAAGAGCAAGAACTAACGCAAGTAGGTTGCTGATGAAAAAAGAATTTTAGTGTCTGATGCCAAATTTCTTTTTAAAACAGTCAGTAATTGCTGCTGGTGCTAGATGAAACCTCACTGCATGCCAAACTTTGGAAAGATGCCAAAGCAGCCATTGCTTCATTTACAGCAAGTTTAGCACATTAAAAACATCTAAGAGACTTTCACAGTGCTGCAAGAAACAGCACCTTTCAGCAACTGAAGTTGAGAATATTATTACAAGTGCTCCTGATTGGTAGTCCAGAAGGGATTAAAATCAGCTTGGGATCCTTTGTCCTACAGCACCTTATGCTCAGAAACACACTACCCAATTGTTCTTCTAGTGAATAACCCTCATGCATTAATTAGTATCAGGAAGGGGGAACCTGTAATTACATGTCTATGCATCCTTCAAAATAATGTAAAGCATGTGACATAGTAAATGGAAAACAGGCATGTTAGTAAGACTGTTTTTATAATTACAGAAGCAACTAATCTTGTCACAGCAGTCTATATGTACATCTGTATTTGTTGCTGCTATGCATATCAAACAATTCAGCATCAAGATACAAGCATTCAGCTGCATTATGGTCATATAAAGCATTAGCACATAACTAATCCTAACAATTTAGGTTCAAGTAAGAAAGAAAACCCTAGTACTTCCTTTCTTACCAACTTCATGATCATTTTATCCAACTTATGAAAACCATATAAAAACCCAAACAGTAGTACCTTTTTTGCATTACCTAGTAAAAGTAAGGTTGAATAAATGTGCTAACCTCAGATTTCTAAACAGTTAGAAAGCTGTAAGTAGTCCACCATATACAGAAAAAGTGCAAGGCATGATGTAAAAATTATTTGTGTGCTTTAGCTGAAGTTGACTGTCATTTTGAAGAACCAATGCCAGGTCCCTAGAAAGACCCAGCTGAGTATAATCATGCCTTTGCTGAAACTCACCCTTAAAACTGACCAATTGACCTTCCAATTCTTCTCAAAGATAACTCATTTCAACAGCTTCAGTATCCTGCTTTCGGGTTGCAACACTGCTCTTTAGTCAAATAACCCACTGTGTCTAAACTTTAATTGAGCTTTGGGAAACGGCTGGCTTTCAGCTAACCCATGTTGCGCTCTGGATCCCTGAGCTAAGAATTTCATGGTCTTTTATCTCAGGGCTTGACTAACATTCCAGCCCCAAATCAAACACAAACACCCCCCCACTCCAATCAAGCAATAAAAAGTTTAAAGCTTACTTTAGAGCTATTACCCACCCATTTGCAAACCCACACCCCAGCTGCTTAGTTATATCACCAGTCATTCTGTTCAGGAAAAAGAAACTGAGTAGTAGAGAAGCATCTCACTCAAGGTAGGTTGAAGGAAAGATTACTCTGAATGCCTTCGGGCTTGTCCTGACAATAGCAAAATCAACAAATGCAAGAGGTGGGCTAGTTTTCGGACTGATCTCATTACCACCTTGATAGCAGTCAAGGAAAAAAGGTGGTCTCAGAACTAAAACAATTTATTCTTGTGGCAAACATCAACTGTACAAAGTTTACTTGGCTAGGCACTGATAACCACTCAGTTAGAAGACTGCTCAAGGTACTCAGAGTTGCCAGGACCTAAGACAGACAATCAATTTTTTCTACTTGTATTCCAAAGACCAAGTTACAATGCAAAAGGTAAAATGTGACAGCAGGGTCTCCAGACTTCCTCGCTCCGCCTCTCTAAGAAAAACCCTGCCTCTAATGATGAGGATAATGGAGAACATCCTGGGTATGGAATCATACTTGAAAAAAACAGGATAAAAAGGCAGGAAAAGACAATGCAAGTTGTGTGCCAGCATAACTATTTGTTATTTTCAATATACCAGCACGTACAGGGAGACTGGAATGAGCCATGAACATAGAAAACACCTCAATGCTTTCAAAAGGTTCATCAAGGCTGCAGCCAGAGCTCTGACCTCACCAGGCATATGCAGACCTGAGGCAGTTTTTCCTCTAGACACCTCAAACTGCACATACCAAGGATGAAGTGGCCTAGACAAACACACAGGAGACTTGGAGCAGAGATTACTGCCCATGCTGCTGAATTCTCTCTAACTACTGGTGATCTCTACTGCACCCAACACAAGCATGCCTGTAGTCACACATGCATCCCAAATACAGTGCTGGGTTTGAGGGCACAGACCACTAGGTATGCTGGGGTGTGTGCTCACAGCCTTCAAACCATGGTGTAAAAAGTTCCTATGCAAATACTATGCATACCACTGTCCAATATTTAAAGTCATGTCCTTCCACCTACCCTCTGTGATGGTCTCACAGACAATTCTGAGCAACCTTCGCAATCCGTAATTTATTCAAAAAGTCAACCCTCCCAAACTATACAAATTGGGATCCAAGCTCAAGATTCTTTTTAGCAGTGCCTCAAGCCACGGGATATTCAGGGTAGTTAGCAATTTTTCTAAAATCAAGTCCCTTACTTAAGATGTCTAAATATGGACATAAAAGCTTTACTCCAGACTCTTCTTTTTGAGAGCTTTAGCCTACTTTTATTAAGCACTTGAAAGCTGGGATTACAAGCTCACGGATGGTGCATTACATTAGTGCTGGAACTAATACTTGCTCAAGAAGTCACTATTATAAAATCAAAATAATTTAAATGTAAGTGCCTCTGGAAGTCAAGGGAAGGGAGAGAAAAGGAGAAACAGTGCAAGCATGCAAATACATGCAACAGTATAGCTTTAAATCCAATGTATTATGCCCTGCTAACCTTCACAATTAATTACATCTTCTCAATGATATACAGGCTTCAGTTATTTGTAAGTTACTGAACTTTAAAGCCATCAGTGGTTGCTCGGGCTAGTACAGCTACACATAGAGATACCCAGGAATTCATACATAAGAAGTGCTAGAGCTAGGACATGTATAATGGATTCTCTGTATCTGAGAGATCAAGATTATTAATACATCCTCAACAAATTTACCACACATTTTACTAAAATATTTCTTCCTGTCTTTCCTTAACTGTAAAGTTACTATTGTCAGAGAGTCCCTGACATTACAAACAAGATTTTTTTATCTGGGCAAGCTCAACCTTAAAACTCATCTTAAAGGACAAAAAAGCATCTAAAATCATGAATGTTTTTCTTCCCTTCAAAATAAATTAAAGAATTTGGATGTTAAATTAACATCGTGATCTGTGCAGTCAAATCAGGATTCTGGCTATTCCTGACAAAGCAATTTACCCACTCAGCAGCCCTAAATTGCAAAACGAAGTGCAAATTTCTGATCACTGTCTCCAGGCCTAGGAGGGAAATAGGATGTGAGCATCCACAGGCAAAATAAAGACTCCTTTCCTGGAAGAGAACGAAATGGCCAGATCAAGGCTGAAATCAAAGTCTGAAGGACTACTTTTTCATCATGAGGAAATTCATATCTCCTTGCTTAGCTGAAGTCACCACTGGTTTTGTTAGTACAAACCACACACCCGCACTGGTGGTAGCAAATGCGGGAAACAGGTAAAATTCACTACAGGCAAAGACAGCAGCTGAGCACACAGACAGAGATCTTCAAGCACTAGTAAGAATGTAACTCCAATGATGAACTTGTAAGACAAACCTAAATTTTCTTGTAAAATCAACTATCAAACAGATCATTTAAATGTAGCACTGCCAAATTCAGAACAGTGGTGCCTATAATACTGAAAAGGAGAAATCCCAGTATGTCCTGCAGAGAGGACAATAAATTACCAGTAATATGACAACAGTAGATAAAAGCTGCCTGGTAGGAATGCCTGGGTACTCAGCCAGGTCTCCTCTCTCGGTACATTCTTAACCAAGGAATAGCTGGCCATGAAAACTGCTTATTCTGCCTCTCTTTTCTGAGGAACAGGGACTTACAAACTTTCACCTAGGCAGTAGGGGAGCTAAGAGGTTGCTAAAAGCCTGCGGCTCAAGTTATTAGCCGTTTTGGTTTGTAAGAGGAATAGAAATTAAGACATGAACAACCAGCCAGCATTCTCTGAGAAAAAAAATAGCTAATTTTATTCCAAGTTATTACCCTTTCCTGAAATGTGTTTCTAAATGGAGGGTATTAAATTCATAGCTCTCACAAGAAATGGTTAGACTCCTCTAAGGTGCAATGAAAAAACTGCCTACAAAAAATGGAGAAACTAACAGTGGGAGAAAGGGGAGGGAGGTGAAGATTTCCTATAAACCAAGATAATCCAAAAATGCTAGGTTGTCATGGAAACTGCTCAGGGAGGGTCAGCCAGCCTCACCTTTGGCTGCAAGGATCATCTGTCAATGCCAAAGCACTGCAAACACCACAAACATGCACTCAAAATTCACCCGTCAAAATCTTTCCAGTCCAGGCCAGCGCTCTCAACAGCGCAGCATGAAATGAAGTTCTCTCCTCAAAGAGGCTCCTTTCAGCATGAAACAATGCAGTTTAGAAACCAGTCTGATTTTAGTGCAATGCTAGAGGACAAAACCATCTTAAAGAAGAGAAACTCTTAGCCTGTTTCTCACCTTTCTTCACCTGTAAGGCACCCTTCCCTCCTTCCTTCCCCACAGTCATGTACATGTTCTAATCGCAAATGGAGATATAATCACTCTGTGTTTCAGTGTTTTGGCATAATAGATATATACTGAGAAGATCCAAGGTGAAAATGTTCAGTTCTCAGGGTTCAGCTCTACTTTCACAGCAGGGATAGTAAACATGGAAGTACAAAGGGAAAAAAACAGCCTAAGAAACCAGAAGCAACCCCTCCATCCTGCACACCTGAAGAAGAGAAAACAAACTTACTTCCTGAGGGTCACTGAGCAGCCTAAAAAAGGCAGGCAACACACAAACACATGCAGATTTACATCTCAAAATCTGGTCTGTGGCTTGTCAGACTCTGTTGGACTGCCATGCTCTCCTCACTTCCTCAAATCAGTTATTGCAGCCTTCAGAAGAAATTCCACTGAATTTCTGCCTTGAAGAGCTCTGGAAGGTTGTATGTCACTCGCAAAAGCCCTAAACCTACCGCCTGAAGCTCAGCTCTAAATGTTGAACTTAAAGCTCCATCATGCTCCCCCCAGAAGCAAGCTCTGCACAGAACCAAAGTAAAGGCAATGGATCTGATGTATAGTTTGAGCAGGTTGTTTCACTCGAGTTATGTGCTTACTCATTTTTAAGTCCAAGAAGCAGTGGTATGCAACACTCACTGAGCTAAATAAACACAGACTCCATTTTCTTCCCCCCTTCCCACCCATTTGTCTTCTCAAAAGGGAAGGTCAGAGTGTTTTGGAAAGACACAATAGCAGAATGGTGGTTAAAATCATAATGTCATATTGACAAGATTAAGATAAATGTTGTATAATTTTTTTTGCATACAGATGGACAATGTAACCAATTCACATTGATTAACAAAATTTCTCATAAAATGGCAGCTATATTTTGTGAGCCAAATATGCTTTATGGCTGACTGAGAACATACAATTTGACTTCTTGTGTCCAGGGAGTAGGAGAAAAGAGCAATAGTTATAAATTCTGAGACATAAGGAATGGCTGACAAAATGAACTCATGATTTTGAGTATCTCTGCATGGTAAGTTAAAGTCCTTTTAATAAAGGGGTTTTTACTTGTTTGTTTGTTGTTTTGGGTTGGTTTTTTTTTCAATACCATTCATCTACTTGCTCTTGGTAATTTACTTTGATACACTGAAAGGTGCCATTCGTCACTTCAGAACAGGGGTGTCAACCTGCGTGGTAAGTTGCCTCTGTGAGGATATGGGGCTGAACCTGAGCAGTGAAGCAGGCACTTCTGTGATACAATGACCTGTTCTTTAGAACACAGCATGTGAGGAGCAAAAGAATACAGCCCCTCTTACCTAAAGTCCTTGGCCCTTTTCCTATCAGCAGTAAGTCAAAGGGAAGAAATTTCCTGCTCCTGATCTCTCCAGGGCTTGTTCCAACTGTTGTCTTTAGTCCTTCAGCCTCTGCTGCCTTACTGTTCCACCTCTGCTTGGCAAAAGACCAATCCTTCACCACTCCCTGTCCCCCACATGGACTTTTTGTGCAGCTCTGCTTTTGGAAACATGCCTGTATTGGGTAACAACTGCTTTATGTATCTACTGCCAGAAAGGACTTCATCTGCGTGTGCCAAGTATTTTTTAAAAAGCACGTGAATTTGTGTCACATTCTGACTAAATATGACCAACTCACAGCAGCATTATTAAAGTTTGTTCCTTGTAGTAGCAGAAAAACATCTTGTGCATGTATTGGTAAATTCTTACTAAAGATCCTGCAAGGCTAAATTGGGAGCTGCTTTTGAGTTTGACACATAAAAGCAGCAATTTATTTTAACAAGGTTCACACAGACACAAATAACCACACAAAAATAATCAACAGAAAGCATGAAATAGCATGAAATTAAACAAATCACTGAACAGTAGCTGACAAGCCTAGAAGAATTTTTAAAATATAAACCCACAATTTAACAGAAATTTCTATACAATTTTATTTAGCCTATTTACAGTAAGTTCTACTGTACCTTTCTGTTTCTTTCTCCATTTACCCTTGTCATAGAGAGACAATCTGCACAGAAGATGGTTATCTATGAGCAAGCTAATTATCTTCCAGTGTTAATTTTGATCCTGTCAAGGTACTACAGCAACCACAGTGTCACTTACAGAATATAACAGTTTAAAATCATATACATTATCCCACAATGAGACACTAAAGCCAGTTTTGGGTGACTTCATGCTGCCCTGACATCTTGAGTTTAAAAGCTGAAAGACTTTCAACACTTCTAAAAACACGCCATTCTTTTCAGTCTTCTATACAGATGTAGATGCCTAACTTTTTGCATGTGAACTGAAAGAGATCCAGGTGTATGTGTGTATAATAAACAGACATCAGACCTTAAACAAAAAATCCCCCAACAACTGTGTTTATTGTACAATCCTATTAACCAAATATTAATTCATAAACAATAATGTTAGATTCATTTGAGAGACAACAGAAGGAGGTATGTATGATTTTGTCTAAGAAAAGAGAACAACAGACTTCCCCCCCAAAAAAACAAAACAAAACAAAACAAAACCTGGCAGGGAATTAATGACAGACACAGCACTGCAACCTACATTTTGTAACTGGAGGTAGCTATGAGGCTCTTTTTTCAAAAGTAGAGGGCATTTTAAATCACTTTTATCTGTACCGCAAAAGCGCACACGATTTCACAATTTGCCACCCCTAATGTGCATTATGTAGTGAACGTTGAAGAACCCTTTTCCCTCCAAAAAATCTCTGTGCTTAATCTAGAAGGATTTTTAAAAACAAAACCTACCATCTTCGCAGGTCTTCCCATTCTCAAGAAGTTTCACACCAGTGGGACATGCACACTGGTAAGAGGCCTTGGTAGGAGACATCAAACACAAGTGGGAGCAGCCACCATTATTAATTCCACATGGGTTTGTAGCTGTTAAACATAAATCACACAGATTAATGCTTCTGATAACGAATGACCTCATCTCATGTGTTAAGACACATACGGCATCTGAGTGGTAGAATCAGTGGCAGCAACACAGATTAAAGAAGGAAATGATAAACACAGAACAAGTTAAAATTAATTCCAAGTGTTGAGTAGTGGGGTATTTATGGTACCAAAATGCACGGATGTTGAATGTTTCCTTTCTTGGGGAAGTAGCACTTAGCTCTAAACATGAGCCTTACTTCAGCTCTGCGCTTCTCATCTTCACAAACTATTCAGCATGTTGGTGCTGAGTGTATAGTAGGTTGCATATATAAAAACAAAATGCAAATACAGTAAATTAACACAATGGTTAAGACAGTGGTTATTACACAGAGCTAGTCTCGCTTAATATCATCTGCCAAATTAACAGTACTTTCCATTCAGGAACTACTACTTGTTAAAAATAAAAATACCATGTTGCCTAAAGTTATGGCACATGAAACAGAAAAAGGAACATGACAACAGGATAAATGTAGCAGGCATTAAAAAGCGAGAGATGGGTTTTTGCACTTAAAAACAGCAATGAAGACAGTATTTGGTTTCTCTTTGGGTCTTTTCCCAATCTCTGCATTGGAAAAATCGCATCATGACGCGGGTGAAGCCACCCACCGCCACAGAGAAAGACTAATTAAGATTTTTGCAAATCAGTTCCAACTTGCAGTTAAAAAAAGAAAGCAAGACATCTTACCATTTGGCTGCCTCTTTTGGCTGAAAGCATGGATATCCATGGGAGAGAAGATGTTGGAATGTATTTCACGCAGGTCCTCCCCGGAGTATTTGCTGCAGGCCAAGATCGAATGTGTGTTCCAGTCAGTCCAGTACAACGTGTCCCCAAACAACGTCAAAGCAAAAGGATGTGGAAGGGAGCCTTTAACCACTGCTTGCCTAATAGAGTACAAGGAAGAAAATGAATGCTCAAACACAATACATGCTACGGTTTTGCTTGAACATGGATTTGTGAAAAGAAGCTTTAGAGTGTAAGTACTGCCGATCAAAACTTTCTATGTATTTTTAGGGAACAAAATAGTGTACCTACTTAGTGGAATGACATGGAGAACAATACAGGAGTCCTATTTCCAGGCTGCCTACTGATGCTGCAGTGGCCAAGAGACGCCAGCTGAAATCCTTACTAAAGTCTGTGGCTATTTCTTAGCACCCTTTTAACACTCAATACCTGTGGGACTCTGTGTCACCGTGTGCAAGTGGGGAAAACATCAACTGATTTTATGCAAGCCTGACTTCTGCCTGCTGATACGTAATGTCCATTATATTCATCCTCAGCAGATTTTAAACTGGGACAGCATTTGGTCAATTAGCAGTCCATTCATCTCTTCCGGTTTCACTCTTTTGAACCACCGGAAAAATACTCTAATAGCAAATAGCTTCACCATAAAGAAATCCTTAAAGTTACTTTTCAAGATTCATTATTATTATAATTATTAAGCTATTGCTTTTATTATAAGCAGTGACATTAAACAGAGTTCTACTGATCTTCTGCCATGGTAATGGTATCATTTCTGAGCAAACTGGGTCACTGCCTGTCTCCAGGTTCATAAACAAAATTAAAGACTATACCCATATATTTTATGTATATATACAAACACATGCTCATTAGCCATCACAAAACTGCAGCACAAACATTACTGAAGACAGTTTTTCCAGGTTCTTGTGATGTAGAAACTAATTATCTATACTCAGGTTCCTCAGAACTGGAATTAAGTAGCTCCATTCTTATAGTTATTTTATTCAGAGTCATAGAAAAATTTCAGATGGAGAGAACCATGGAGGTCATCTGGACCAACATGCTGTTCAAAGCAGGGCCACACAAGTACCATTTACAGAAGCATTTCTTCCCACCTCCTTTCTTCTGAACTGCATGGGTGCACGTGCATTCCCACATACACAAGCTCCCATGGAACAGTGGGGATCACCGTCCTTCTCCCAGACTGAAAGTGTAAAGGACTGACACACAGCTCTACTACTCCTTCAATATAGGGTACACCATGAACACCAGCCTCAGTTCTATTTTTGCAAGGAAGAGAGTCATTATCTGTATATTTACAGAGAAAACACCCCCACACTGTATGCATCACTTTTGCAAAGAAGTTGGCAACCTAAGTGGTTTAGTAGAGGACAAAAATACTCTTTATTTTCCAAGTATTTTCTGTTAAAATATAACAGAAGTGCATATTAAAGCAAGAAACGTGAAGGTGTCTTCTGCCAATGATTCAGAGTACAAAGAGACTGCAGTCATTACTGCTCTTTCACCTTAGCTTCTGGAAAAAGATGTATTATCTTTAAAGGTTCTATTTTTTTCTGCTCCTAAGAAACACACACACACATTCCTTTACTTGTCACTGTAGTGTTCCAATTCTGCACCAAACAATTTTTTATTTCTTGGTATTTTGCACTCAAAAGTAGGACATACTATCTTTTCTCTCTTATCTCTGTCTGGAGTCAGGTATGTATTTGCTTCTAATTAAATGCACCAACTAAGCATCTTACAAAAGACTATTGTAATATAATTTACAGCTGAAACCTACCAGCCAAACAGTGAAGCCAGAATGACACAACACACTCCCCTACCAAGAATAAAGACATTCTAATTCTGTAAACAATTTTTCTACCAACCCCACACCCAAACCCTAAATGCCTTCAGATTTGAATAATTTTAGTTTACAGCAAGCTTGGAGACTATCTGAAGTTTTTATGACAAATTTCTGACATTTGTCATATGGGACAAGAAGCATTGTAAGTCCAAAGCTCTCACTCTAACCAAACCTGCACCAAAGACAGCATTCCCATGCACAAGAGAAGCCATATTTTTTATGAAGCATTCTGACTATCTTGCTATTTATTAAAAAAAATTTAAAAAATAAAAAAAATCCAACAACAAAAAAACAAAACAGAAGAATTTTAAGAGGAATTTTAAATGTAATTAGTACCCACCATTCCTAGTGGGAATAAATCTTTGAGTACAACAGATGCTGCTACACGTGCCTAACTTTCAGACAACCATCTATTCATGTGACAATGCATAAAGTGAACTGTGACCCTTATTTAAACCAGCCCTTATCTGGAGAGATTCAGGAGCACTGCATTCAACTGCAACACCAGCCACTGCCTTGAAGCAATTACTCTTAAACTCATGTCATTTCTCTCAGCAGATAAAAGGTACCATCACATGAAAATGGCTTTGGGCTCAAATACAAAAGCATGTATTTTTTGCATCTCATTAAGATGAGTATTACCAGTAACATGTACTCCATACCCCTTGTTTCCAAACAAGATAATAGCTCACTTCCAATCAGCAAAACCCAGTAGGGCTCTTTCTCCTCCAAACATCCTTCCCCGGCTGCACTTGGAGCCTCGCTGAACAGCAGCCAGCAGCTGAATGTGTGTCAGCACAGAAGCAGTGGCTGAGTTGTGCTAAACAAGCCTCCACGGCCTAATGAGGAATGAGGGGAAAGGGCAGGAGAGCAAAGGTGCTAAAAATCAGGAAAAGGAAGGGGAAAGTGAGCAAGGAATCACCTTCTGATGATTGCTGTGAAGCAGTTATGCTTTAGCACAACCCGCATGAGGAAATGCAGAGCTCTCTTTTGGCTGGTAGGAAGAGGGGTCCTGACTTCTGCCTTGAGCAGTAGTTTATTAAATACACCCAGCTGAAATGAAGAGGACCAGAACATCACCTGTAGTACTCAACTACTGCACACAGTTGACAGGAGCAAGTGCTTCCCACCTCCAGGGCGTTTCACAGGCACCCATGCACAGCTGGGGACCAGCCAGGTCTCCATGTTTCTGGCTTTGCCAACAAAGCCACCAACCTGGGTACCACATACAGCACTGCTGGTGTAATTGGAGTAACATGACCCAACAGCCCTTTGGTGGCAACTACCTTCAGCCCGGGCTTGGTTAGAATAAGTGACATGACAACAAAAAGCACTACATCATATTAACCTTCACTAAAGCCCTTGAGTTCCTTCAAACTGCTGTACTTCTATTACTAGTCTTCTTAAAAAAAAAAAAAAAAAGAGACCAGAGATGAGGATAAGACGTAATGTTACTCATTCAGGAGACATCAATAGGGCTTCAGCAACATGCAAACTGGCTACATATTAGATGGTACTAAGCACATACTAACTTTAATAATCTTCCCTGCGCCAAGCATATGATCACCCAAATTCGCCTTAAAAATTTTGATGGCAATTGACATTTAAAGCGTCACCATCTCTGTTTCGTTGGCTGGGAAGGAAATGCAGAAGGGGACAGCAGGGAAGGAAGGTGAGCACAGAAAAGAAGAGAGAAAACAAGCAGTTTCCAGATAAATTAAATTCCATCTGTGCTGTGTATCACAATTTCTTAAATACAACTATTTATAGTATCATCATGGTAATCAGAGATGCAATTGCAACAACAACTTGTTATAGTCAAACATTTTCTACTGCCTGAAGAAAACGTAGATCCAATTTAAATACGTTCACCTTTGTTCTATTCTTACTCTGTTATAGAGGCCTGTGAAATACTTTGTGAAGATAAAGGCAACAAGCAATAAACAATTTAAAGCAGGCATTACAAAAGGGGCTACTGAACTCTGAAATGGAACACATGAAAATTCATAGACAATCTATCCAGCTTCATACTAACAATGACAAAAAAGCTCCTGCTTCAGGATATGCACTTCAGACAAAGACTAAGCTCACTTGAAATAAAAATTAGAAGTAAAATGACCAAAAGACTGACTTTAAGCTCATATCCTTCATCCCAACTAGGTCTTCCTCTGTCTGCCTTTATTTCCTTTTTTTCAGCTAATACTAACATTCAAATCCAAAGCTAGATTACAGGTATGAAATTGAAGAGGTTTTCATACCAAAAGACAGACACAAGAAAATCAAGATAATATAAATTCAAAATATCATCAGAATAATTTTTTACACTAGAATTTAAGCAGATGTTTTATATCCAAGCATAATAGCATTTCTCCAGAAAAATAAACAAGCACACACTTTCCATTAACCGAACTCCTTCTCTTCTGGCTGCATTAGTTCTCTAATGTCAAACACTGATGAGAACACCTGCAGAAAACCTGGTGTAACTCAGACACCCTGGCTTATACTTCTCTCAGTCATTAACATTCCAGCCTCACAGCAGCAAAACTCCTTTCAGGTGACCTCTGAGGCTGCCTGCACTCCATTTCCAGGGCAGGTACATTTATGTTTCAATGTATTTCTCCAGTGTCCCTCTGGAGAATGCCATTCCTGTTACAATCTCCTAGGCTATCAGAAAGGGGGGGGGGGAAAAAAAATCTCCTCTTGTATCAGTCTCTGTAATTCCATTTCAAATACAACTGTGAAGACTGGGGAAAAAATGCAGGTAATTCATCTTAATACTTCATACGGTAGCAAAATTTACCATATTGGCATCCAATGACAGTACAATATTAAAGAGCTGGAAATTCATACCAACTAGACGTAGCTAGCTCTCTGATTAATCTATATATTGTTGAAAAAGTCTTTAAGGGATGTTCATATCTCCATTTACTGAATTTTAATTTATTTTTCTTTTTATGCTATACCAGATCAGTTTCCAGTTAAAGATACCTGAGGGCTACATTCTTATCAGGCCTATTTTTCTTTTTCCTCTTGGTGTAAGAAAAACAAAACAGAAAGTTGTTACATGGCAATTATCATCACATCTTCCTTCATGAAGGATTACAAAATGTAAAGACCCATCTTCCGAACCTTGCTTTTAGTGCTCATCATGTTAAAGAAAGCATGTAACAGACAGGCTTGCATGAAACAAATTATAATACTTTACACAAAGCGTTTCTCTCCATCTATAGATTATGTAATGCCTGAGCATTCAGGACAATGCAACAATTACCCAGC